GGCTAGTTAACACTAAAAACAAACATTATTCACAGAAACAAAACAAAAATGTTCAACAGAGAGAAGAGGAGTGAGGAGGAGAAGTGAGGAGATGACATGAGATGAAGACGCCACGTGAAGATACTGCAGATGATATGAAATAATGCGAAAGTGCATCATCCGTCACGCATAGCTGAAGTCTGGAACACAGTGAGGCAGATCTACTCGCAATAAAAAATATGACCTTCCGCGCAGCAATGAATGGTGCCTAATACCAATATGATGTACCATTGCTGTAAATCTGTTAATCTACTATTTAAGCTGTTACTCTTGTAGCACCAGATGCCGACAACGAAACAGCAATAACAGGCATGGCTGCAGTCACTCACCAACTGAGAACGTGTGTGGGAAATTTGCTACGAGCCTTTGAATGACCACGGGACCGTTTCGATAGCACAGCAGAGGCTCACACACGCCATCCACTGACAACAACTGAGGCATCTCTGCGACGGCAAAGCAGAGCATGTCGGAGCATTCATCCAAGTACATAAGGTTATCCAGAAGCTCGAACCTCAGGCACTCGCTGGTCAAAAATCCATCACTAAGGGATTGCTGTGTGGAGAGCAATTCGCTGAGCAGAATAAAGTAACGCTGAGCGACATCACCGTTTTCGAAACGTAGAGCAACATCGACGGTAGTGGTTGATTTAAGTTCTTGTTTGTTAGTCTGCAACTGGGTACTTTTCCTTCTGGTCTGCAGATCCTTCAGCAACTCGACTTCCAACTCTGGGAACGCAACGTTCAAATACTCGTTTAAACGGTTGACACGAAAGTCATTCAACAGTGCCTCTCGACATACGTTTTGCTTCTGTGTTAACAAATGCGAAGGGACTACGCCCTCATAAACGATCAGTCTCAAAAGATAAGGGTAGAGCAATGACCAATCAGCACGGTCGCAAGACTTTAGCAGCACGGAGAAATCTTCGTTCAGCAACGTTTTAAACACTTCGGCCGTTACGACTTTAGGAGTTGTCATCTACGCAAGATGCCTTCTTGTCTCTACAAAAGCAGTTAATCAAATAACAGATGGAAGTGTTCATAATCCTAATAATCAGCTATCATTCAAAAATGAGGATACAATTCAACCATCATAAGTAATGATAATAAATCAGATCCGAATTGCTACTCGTTCAATAAAAAGTACACCAGTAGAAACGTGGATTTTCGCGACCATTATCTCTGATTTTCGCACTTATCATAAAATCAATATTCCACAGAAATATTTTTAAATGAACTGATTGACGTTGGACTCAAGAAACATACTGCTCGGCATAAATAAATAGAGTATAAAAAATAGAGTATTTCTTCTAATACATTATTTTTTGTGCGTTAGCTATTTGACTACAAAACAGCATAACACAACGCAAAAAACAAGGCCAATCGGATAATTGACCAGTACTCGCGTTTTGGCCAACACCTCACGTATCTTCTTCAAGGGAGTAGGTTGGTATAGTTTCGGAAATTTTTCTTGTTATCCATAGTGCCTGGTACATTTGGAGCCAGAAGACATTCTGATCATGTTTTTTGCGTTTTGTATTCATAAACCATGTTTTATACTGTTTTTCAGTACAAAACATATGTTCGATGTTTGCATAACGATTACCTTCGATACCTAAATCACTTCCACTGGTAAATCCTCGATCTAGAACGGCATAGCTTATTTTCGTAAGCCTGCTGGTGGATTGGTTAGCCTTTGAAATGGATCAGATGGCTGGCAATCGTGTTCATAAAGTTTCTCCTCCGAGCACTGAACCGAAACGACATATATTTCCATGAAAATGTAAGATCACGAGCATGTGCACAGTATCGACATGCTTAGTGGCTTGGCTCCTGGCT